CCTGCTATTTTACTAAAGGCATCTATCCTTTGCATCAACACTGGAATAGTAGTATGAGGTTTAGAACTAAACAAAAGAATGTCATCTGTAAATAAAACCAATTTGTGTTCAACTGAGTTGTATACTATTCCATCGATTTCCCTGTGATGTCCAATAGCAGAAGCCAAGGGTTCCATGCAAATGTTAAAAAGCAAGGGTGAAAGTGGGCATCTTTGTCTAGTTCCTCTAAATAGTGGAAAAGTAGGAGAAAACATACCATTAGTCTATAAAGCCACCATTTGTTAAAATCAAATGATACAGCCATATAAAATATGTTCTAGTTTAAATGTTTTCAACTGCACTATACTTGTTCATGTCCCAGATAGCATGGCTAATGATAAAAGAATATCACTGTTGACGATGATTCCTATTCTGCCCCAGATACAATGCCTGTAAACATGATTTAAGTGTTTAACAGGCAAGTTAATGACAGGGATTGCTGGATCCCCCTACCTAGGTGTTCCTTCTTCTCCCATCAAACATCGACCAATCACTTTCTTTAATGTTGGGTGAATCTGGGAAAAAGGTGCAATTTGACAAGTTGCCCAAATCGGAAAATTAACACTTGTTGGCTTCTAGTATTTAATACTTGACAATAGGTAAGTCAGATGATATAGCTCCAGATTTGGAAGACCAAATCCTCCCTCATTAACTGATAATTGCATTTTCTGGAAAGATATTATTGGAATTGAAGAACTCCATAGAAAGGCTAGACTGGGAAGTTTAGATTTCTGTCCAAACTTGCTCTTCTTTTGTTAAAGTATTTTTCATAGAATTCAAAGAGAACCTAGTGTGCTATTCCAATTGGTGGCACAGACAGGGAAAGTTGTGCTACAAAGAAGCCTGGAGCCATCTCTCTCCCATTTCATGAGGGATTGGCTCAGAGACCTGGTGGGAACCGGCAGAGAGCCTGGTGGGAACAAATCAGACTCTCCTGCTCCCTAAAGCAGAATGCCCCTAGGAAACAGGGACCAGGGATCGGTAGGGTAGGGACATGCCACACCAGCCTAAAATAGCCAACAGGGGCCATCCCTATTGGATGATCCCAGCCGCTAAGGTCAACGGGCTATCACTGACAGAATGGTCAGTGAAGTGTGTCAGAATGTATTCATGAAAAACCTACATTTTAGATGAGGAAAGCACTACTTTAACACCAATACAGTTAAGGATGAGAGCCAGTTTCATGTAGTGGTGATGGCACCAGGTTAGAAACCGGGAGACGGTGAGTTCTAGTCCCGCCTTGGGCATGAAGGGTGACCTTGGGCCAGTCACTCCCTCTCAGCCCTAGGAAGAAGCAGGCAATGGCAAACACTTCTGAAAAATCTTGCCAAGAAAACTGCAAGGAGTTGTCCAGGCAGTTGCCAGCAGTCAAGACTGACTTGAAGGCACCAAAAAAAAAAAAAAGGCTGCCTCAGATATGGTCTGTGGATGAGATGGGGGCAATGTCACACATATACAGCAGATAAAAGAGGTTGCCAGAGCATGTCTGTGCTGTAGTTAGATGCAAGTAAGGAAAAGGCTAAGTCTTGCAAAGATTTAATGGTGGGATATTGGCTCTGTCTGTATACACTGCGGGAAGTCTCATCTTAACCATGGCATCTAACTTGGCTATTAAACATTTACTGGAGTCTCTTACATGTTTTGTCTATCTGCTTTATCCATAGTTCATATCTTAAAAGAATAAAAGTCTATTTTAAAGCATGGAAATAAATAAGCCAATCCCCTTCTCAAAGTTATTTCACTATTCAGATTGTTTCCCCTGCACTGCAGAATTAAACATACAGTATATGAACCCATTTAGTTTTTAAAAATGATTGTATGGCTTCATTTATATACTTAACAGGAAAATCTAGTTTGACAGTGTAATCCTATGCATCTGTAGTCATCAGTAGCCTTACTGAATTTAATAGGGCTTATTTTATTCCCGGATAAGCGTATCCAGGCGGTAGCCTTTGACTCCCCTTGCAAAAGAAACAAAGCAAAGTAAGGTCATTGTCATGGAAGTGATTCTAGTGTCGATAATGCTCACAATCACCTTTTCTGTGTAGAAAAGTGGTTGCTGTGTGAACAGCATTTATATAAATAAGGAAATGTGCCTACACAACTGCACCTTAGTTATTAGTAGAAATATTGAGGTCAGATGTCTTTTGAAATTAATACTTTGAATGGAAAAAATCTGTTTCAGGCGGGTGAGTCAGTCATTGAAACAAAAGTTTATTTCTTGTCCAATACTGACCTCTGGGAAGTAGGGTAGAATTGCATTCTCTGAAGCAAACTGCTGCTCATGAAAGTTTATGCTTTTTAATGAAATCTGTTAGTCAGAAAAGGTGCTACCAAACTCTTGATACTCTGAAGAAAGAATTTGGGGACTGCCTTCTAAAGGACAGGCAGAACTAGTAGGAAGAATTAAATCTGAAAGGCAGAATTGTTCTGTGAACACAGCCATGGTGGACACTATTAAGAGAGCAAGGGTATAACTTGTTTACCAACCTGTTTGTTGAGGTATGCACGTGTTCAGTGATGTGCATATCTTAAAGCAAAGAGAGCGCTGTGCAAACCATTTTGAGTACTGTTTCTAACCATCTATTTTTTCTAACCACTGCAATGGATTTAGTTTCAAAAGAACAGAACCTGAAGGTATGCTGGATCCCAAGCCATCACCTTTCTGCAAAATGGCCCTATTTCAGATATAGTACAACGCCATTAAAATAACTTCCCCTGATGGATGGATGGATGGGTGTGTGTGTGTGTGTGTGTGTGTGTGTGTGTGTGTGTGTATAAAAAAGGAGAGAAACTGTTCCATTTTTTTCACTTCCTCTTTCCACTAAACAGCAACTTATACTCGTGCTGGGAAAGAGAGGGTGGATAATAGAAAGAAACGTTTTGTTTTTGTTTTTAATCAGATGTTCTTTAGGGCACATCTTTAAAGTATAAAATCAAACATGCATTACAATTTCCAATGATAATGCAATTTGGGGAGAATCGGTTACTAGCCCGAAGGGTCTCGCCCAAAGCTCCTGCAATTTGCAGCAACGGATTAACGTCCGGACGTTTCTGTCAGAGTCTCACACACCCAATGCGGGGCTCAACTGCGTTGGTCCTCTGTGATTTGCATCAAGGGGATTCTCGCCTTTTGCTTTTACTTGGCACTTGCGGCGGCAGCGGCAGCTGATCCTGTATTTCTGTATCGTGCGGGAAAGCAGGGGGGGAAAACCGGTTAACAAGAACCCGGAAGATAAACGCCTCTCTCTCAATTCTGACATTAACCCTCTGAGCCCGAGGAGGCGGCGACGGGGCGTTTCTTTCTCCGTCGACCTGGAAATGACGCTCAGCCGCTATCGCGTCTGCTGCTGCTGCTGCTGCTGCTGCTAGAAAAACGGGCTGGAGAGTAAACAAGCCCCTGCTGATCCGTCTCGCCGTCTCCATCTTTAAAGGGCCGTCGCACAGCGAGGAACAAGATGGGGGCGGTCCTGGGCTTGTGCTCCTTGACCAGCTGGGTAAGGAGGTGCCGGGTTGCGGTGCCCCTCTTTCTCGTCTCTCCCGGCGCCGGTGGAGCTCGGGGTGCGGGCGGCGGCGGCGATGGCGGGCAGGCAGTGTCTCTAGTGGCGCAGGCGCGCTGCAGGGCTGGACTCTCCCCAACTTCGCCCTCGCGTACCCTCCCTTCTTTGTTAAAATAAGACGAGCTCTTTTGGCTTTATTTTCCATATTTCCCGGTTATGGGATTATTACCATTTTTTCTTTGTATTCCGCCTCGGAATGCTTAGAAAATCTCTTAAGGCTGTCGAGGTAGAACTTAATGGCGTTCTTCATGCGTGGCTAATAAAATAAAATGCTAGTGCAGTGCAAAGTCATTTTGCTAGTGGGGAAGGGGTAGGTGAAGTCGGTTTCTTTCTCCACTGCGGTACCTTGACATTTCTTTCTCCCTGGCTTTGCTGGGGAAGAAACACGTGGTGTCTCCTGATCGTTGCAATTTGTGTACTAGAGGCATAATTTGTTTTATTTGTTCCTACTTGCCCGTCCACGGAGATACCGAATCTTGCTTTCCCTCCCTCCCTCCTCCTTTTTCAGATGTATATATGGGCCCATCTCACTACATAAGTAACTCTAGGCGGCATCTTTGCCTGATGTTGCTAGAGTGACAAGACAAAACTATCCTAAAGACCTTTTGAAAATGTTCATACTACTTTTTAGCTGTAGTGTGTTAGGATAATGGTTATTTACTAGTAGTGCTTGAATGCAGTTTGTAGCTGGGCCTGTTTTCCTTTGGAATGGGTTACAGAAAGCATATGATATTTTATAATATTTGAGTTCAGTGTACAAATTTATAGGTAGATGTCATCTGACAGATGTACACAATTCACAGATCCTATATTAGATTTTTAAGAGAATGCTGTAGTCAGGATCTTCAAGATGCTTCCGGAGTTCCAACTTCAGTCTTCTGGCCCATTTTCCATTCCATTCCCATATCCTTCACAGATGATTTAAAAGCAATTACATGTTCATCTTCTAATCTACTGCCTTAGGATGCAAAGACCAAGGAGTAAAAAATCACCATAATACCTTGAATCCGTCATGTCTTTCCATCACAAAAATCCTCTCATTCCTACTCTTCACCAAAGAGAAATTGCTTGGATTTTCCATCCATGTATTTATTTCATGCTGCATGCATTTGTCTAGTCATATACACAAAATAAATAAATGAAAATTCAACAGTTCCTTGGAAGGGGAGCTGAACAAGACATTATGTCACATACCCTTGGAAGACCTGAAGCTCAAGGTCTGGGAGGTTGGATAAAGCTGGAGTTCCTGCAAAGTGGAGAACAGATTGTATACCAGCTCCACAGGGAGCAGCATTTTTTTTTTTTTAAAAAGAATTTTACTGCAGTTTTGAAGGTATCACAGCTGAGCTTGAAATAAATCGGTGGAGCTCTTTGGATCACACATCCAGAATTGTTTTTGAATTGGTGTGGAATCCTTGCGTGGAAAGGCCCTTAGTTTATTAAAATTGGTACTCTTTCTTTTTGTGGTCCCTGACATAATTTGGCAACGTAATCTATAGTCAGGTATGATAAATGATTATTGTAGGCAGACCAAAAAAAAAAAAAAGTCTTACCTCTTCTAAGGACAATCTCTGGCCCTTTTCCACTCCGTTGGCTGACATTTGATACAATTTCAGGTGTGGAATGGTTCCAAAGGGGACATCCGGCTCAGTCCCAAACTGTAATACAATTTATACGTCCCATCATGACCACCACACTCTAATATGTGTTGGGATGACAATGAGAAGTTACATCAATAACTACTCAGTCTTTGGACTGAGTAGAGTCATCCATTTATATCTTAAAGCTAAATAAATTATAGATCATTTGTGATATTTGGGGGCAGGAAAAATATTAAAAATAACCCAAAAGAGTAATTGTTTGCCTGGATTGTGTTGAAATATGTTACTATTTTCTGAGGCTAAGATAAAAAGATCAGACTAGGAAATTTAATAGAACGTTCCTTCAGTTTTTGTTAATATCTGAAAAATTGTTTGACTTAGTGTGAGGGTTTGTGTTGGACTGCAAATTCTCTCAAATATGTTTACCAAAGACATAATATCTATGTTGTATTCAAATAAGTATTGAAGTAAGTATCATGGAATAAAAGGTTGATATGGGGTGATGGACAGTTTGCAGTCATGATTATTTCAGTTGAATTTAAGTTTAAGACAAAATGAACATAATCAAAGCTTCCCATGTGCTTTTTCTCCAAAGCATTCTTTTCAACATATGAATATAAAGTTTGTAATTCAGATTATATCTTTGAAACCCAGCATAAAATAAACACAAACTTATTTTTAATATTTATTTTACAAGGTTTAAAAGCCATTCTGAGCAGCCTATAATTCTCATCTTTATAAACTCCAATTTAAACATAAAAGAACTTAAGTTAAAACAATCCAACAGTAGCTACATGAAAGTGGCACTTGCTCTGTGGTTGAGATTCCACTTTTTGTTGACTGTGGTGTGAACAGTACTTTTGGTGAGGAGAACAATTAAGAGCTTCTTATGAATAGTCCCTTCCTTCCCTCCCCATAAACTGGCATGGGAACACATAAGGGCTGATATTGCAACATCAACTCTGCTGTTTCTTGCTTCTGACTTAATGCTCTAAGAGCCCAGTAAACACATGTTCATATTTCAGATTTCTAGTACATAAACACGTCTTCTCTAGTTGACAAATTGAAATATCTTAGGATAACCATGCCCAATTGGGTGCCTATCAGATATATGAAATATACTTCCCATAACTCTCAGCTACCAGATTGTGAAGCACATCCAGATGGCTCTAGGTAGGAAAGACTTACCTAGGATTGCTGGTCACAAATTATAGTTAATTGATGGTATGTTATTTTCAGATATTATGAAGTCAGTTAAGTGAACATTTAATCAAGTAGGTGACCAGGGATCTTTGACTGTATTGCTACTTGTCTTCTCCTTCCTTCTTTCTTTTATCAGATACCATGTTTGTGTGGTAGTGCCCCCTGCCTTTTGTGTCGATGCTGTCCCAGTGGAAATAACTCCACCATAACAAGGTTGATATATGCACTTTTCTTGCTTCTTGGAGTGAGCGTTGCATGTGTGATGTTAATACCAGGAATGGAAGAACAACTGAAGAAGGTCAGTTCATTATTGAGACAAATATGGTAAAATTATTTTGGTACAAACACTGGTGTCTTGCATCTATCTCTTCTGAAGAATTCTTGCTCTAAGTATTATGGTATGCTATTGATCAAACATGAGTCATTGTCTATGGTAGAATAATAAAGGCCATAATGCTTGCATAAAGATTTAAGAGAAGAAAGCTTATGTTTAAAGTGATAAGGAGGGAGCTTGGAGAGCTCAAGCTAAACAGCAACAATTAAAACAAAAGTGATAGTATCATAGCCCCGCTGAAGCAAGCACTCAATTCCTGGAAATGTCCTGATTTTCAGAACCTGATTGCAAATATGTGGCTATGTATGGATTTTGAAAACAGTACAGTATCTATTTGATGTGCAGTTTTAATATTATAAAATTAGTGGAACCAGTCTATTTATGTGGAAGGTCTCCAGTTTGCTCTATAGTGAACACGTGAAATAGTCACTGATATTTATGCATTACATTTTGGATTCTTCATGAATTATTTTAATAAATTTTATGCTGGTTGTTACAGATTCCTGGGTTCTGTGGTGGCCAGGTGAATTGCGATGTTCTAGTAGGGTACAAAGCAGTGTATCGTGTATGCTTTGGTATGGCTATGTTCTTCCTCTTGTTTTCCTTATTGATGATCAAGGTAAAGAGCAGCAGTGATCCAAGGGCAGCGGTCCACAATGGGTAAGGAGGAAATAACTCCTTGTGTATGTGTACTTGTGTCTCTGTGTGTGTTTCACGTGGTGCCTTCCAGGTGTTTTGGATTGCAGATTCCAGAATCAGGCTGGTTGGAAATTCTGAGAGTTGCAGTCCCAACACAAATGGATTATATGAGGTTGGAAGAAGCTGCTGTGTCACAGCTAGACATGGTGCTTAAACAATTAGAGATTACAAAATGCTCAAAACCCACAATAATGATCCAACATAACTTTGGTAGAAGCAAAACACTTCCAGCAGAATTATAACTTTTATCCTGTTGGTCTGTGAATTCAGATGACTAAAATGGCCAAATGAAATGTCTTATTAAATATTACTGCTCAGTAATGAAAAAAAAAACCAGTCTCAAAAAAGTAGAACTCAGTATGACAATGATGTAAGTTTCAAGATACACAAAACAACTTTTAGCTTTCCACTTACTGAATTATGGTTATGCATTATGGCTGGACAAATGTAGGGACCATTTGTCTAAGAGCGTCTATAAATTTAAACTCCTAGGACAAAGGAAGGGATTCCTATCAGCCTATACCAAGGTGAACAATTTCTAGCCCAGGCACCCAAAGCAAAAAAAAAAAAAGGGGGGGGAGTGCATGGTCAATAACAATGGGAATGCTCCAATTCCCAATTTTAAATACTTGAAAACAGGCCAAAATGATGCCATTTAAATTTGCCAGTACAATTCTCAGGTTAAAACAACAAAATAAAAATGGGTATGACAGAACAGAACCTTCCCATATGTCTCTCCCTGCTCCCCCAGCTGAAAGATAGGCCCGTACTTTGGGTAGTTTTACTAGGTGATTGGTAAGCCTTCTGTGGACCATCAGTCCATCAGAAAGTACAACTGCCATCCAGAAAGGATTGCTTACCCTATTCTACACCATGATTGCTTGTATGCATCCTTGAGATGGTCACCTGGCTACCATGGGGAATGTAAGACCAAGCCACTTGGTCTGAATCTGAATAATAATTCTTGTATTTTCACGGCACTAAATCTTTAGTGCTGGGTGTAGCATAACTGTAGCATTCAAAGTAGTCTACCCTCAGTCATATAATTTGGGTCAGTCACATTTTCTCTCAGTCCAACCCAAGGGTGGTGGTTGTGGGGAAAAATTGGAGGAGGGAGAACTATGTACACCACCTTGAGATCCTGTACAAAAGTCAGGATATAAATCTAATGATAACATTTTACATTGTGTATCCTGTACCTTGTAGATGTAGGCATTTTCTCTAGGGCTACGACTGTGTAGATAAGTTCCTTTTATAGAGAAACAGCAAATAGGATTTGATACCCATGACTCTGTATCTGTTGAAGCCATGATTAAGCCAGGGTATAGTATATAATGCCTTTTTATTTGGGAGATTCTGTGCTGGAACTCAACTGCTCATCAGAGGAATATGTTATAAAAGGCAGACATTATCTACTGTACTGCTGTCTGCTGAATTTACATGTGGTTGGTTGTTATAGTCTTATAGCATTTTCTACCCAAGTTATATAAATAATGTTGTTGCTGTTGCATCAAATACAATGGAGTTGATAACCTAAAATATTTCTTGAATATTATAGATTTTAAAATGTTGTTAAGAATTACTGTCACTTAGATTATATATGGTGATTCTTTCAGATTCTGGTTTTTCAAGTTTGTCACAGCAGTTTCAATTACAGTGGGAGCATTTTTTATTCCAGAAGGACCCTTTACAACTGGTAAGATTGCACTAAGGTCTCTAATATTTCAGCAAAAGTAGTTTCCGGTGGCTTTCCTGGACTCTATAGAAATGTTATTTGATCCCTTTTCTATTCTGTGCTGTTTTGCTGATGGATGAACAGACCATTTGGCTGAACCCCAATTCTCATTCCTAATTAAGCTACTTATAAATATTTGTAACTGCTTTGTATCATGTTTCTCCTACAATCCTTGTCTCTCTCTTCTCCCTCTCTCTCCTGTCTCATTTTGTGTTTTCCCTAAGGTCCATGAGGGGTACACTTAACTATTTCTTAGCCTCTTAAGCACCCCCCCCCAAAGGTTTGCTCTGAATCAGACAGTAATAATGATTTGATGCTAAAAATAATCCTAATGCAAAATTAATATGTCTTCTATTATTTTTCTTAGTATGGTTTTATGTAGGCATGGCTGGAGCCTTCTGCTTCATTCTTATTCAGCTGGTTTTACTTATTGATTTTGCCCACTCTTGGAATGAATCGTGGGTTGAGAAAATGGAGGAAGGAAACTCAAGATGCTGGTATGCAGGTATGCCACAGTTTGTTGTTAAATGACTGATTAATCCCTGTAGTTTTGTGGGCAAGATTTCAGAATTGGTTTGCCCTTGCCTGCTTCGTAGGGCTGAGAGAGAGTGACTGGCCCAAGGTCACCCAGTTGGCTTTGTGCCTAAGGCAGGACTAGAACTCAGGGTCTCCTGGTTTCTAGCCTGATGCCTTCACCACTACACCAAACTGGCTCTACTTTCATATCCTAGTTACTTGCAAAATAATAATATAGACCCATCACCAAACCCAAAATAAGGATTTTGCATTTTTCACAAGCCTCATGATACCTGATACAGGAGAATTGTGGGAATGTATTTTAGCCCCAAATAGTACAAGAACTTTCCTCCCACGTACCGGTTGCCCTGTATGAATTTTCCTCTTCTATAGATTTAGTTTTTGTGAAAGGCCAGTTGCCAATGTGCTGAATGTATGCATTGCTACTCATGAAGATCAGATGTCATTTTGCTAACCCTTTCAGACTAGCATTCCTCAGCCTGGTGCCTTTGAGCTGTGTTACATTTAAAATTCCCAACCATCATGGGAAAAATGTGAAGGCACCAGATTCCCTTGGGAATTCAGCAGTTACAATAGTAGCATGGTTTAGCTTTTATTTTTAAAACAGCCCAGTAACAAAACCTTCTTCAGGGATGCTAATACAATCTGAATCCTCTTTTATTCTTGTTTTTTTTCACAGCATTGCTGTCTGCCACAGCCCTAAATTATCTCCTGTCTCTGGTGGCAGTTGTCTTATTCTATATCTACTATACTCATCCAGAAGGCTGTTCTGAAAATAAGGCTTTTATCAGTGTCAACATGATGCTGTGTATTGGAGCATCTGTAATGTCAATTTTACCCAAAATACAGGTATGAGTTTTTTACCAATACTCAGAAAACGTTTGAAGATTTTTTTCAAGCAATCTTTTTCAAACTCCTAGTTGGTTGTTTTGCACTCTCTCTGCATATAGGAATCACAACCAAGATCTGGCTTGTTGCAATCATCTGTAATCACAGTTTATACAATGTACCTTACTTGGGCAGCAATGACCAATGAGCCAGGTAAGAAGACCAAACAATTTTGAAAACATATTCTCTATACAATTTTGCAGTAAAAATGGCTCTAGCAGAACCTTTTTGTTTATTGCTCCTAATGATACTTGAGGTATTGTGCATGTTAATGAGCATGGTTGGTCTAGCCAGATTTCATGGTAGAGGCTAATTTAATAGGCATATCATTCTCTTATTCTCCTTTATATAGAGAGGTAGTCCCCAGGTTAAGAACACCCGGATTACAGATAACCCATAGCTAAGAACGGAGCCTATTTTAGCAAAATTTGAGTTAAATACACAATGATTCAATTCAGGACACTGCTTATACAGTATTATACAATACTGTACAATAATACTGTTCTGGCTTAACATACAAATTTGACTTAAAGACAGACCTTGGGAATGGAACTTGTTCTTAAACTGGGGACTGTATAATGTAAGTCTACATATAATGCATATGTAGAAGGCTGTTCATAAGCATGGTTCTTTATTGTCTGTGCATTATTTACATGAAGTATTGTGTCTAGTTTAAATACACATTCAATTTCAGTGAGACATTCATATTTGGTTAATGTCAATTTCTTATGCCTTTACCCATCTAGACAGACAGTGCAATCCGAGTTTGCTGAGCATAATTGGAGATAATTCCACCAGCCCTCCAGGCGAGGGTCAGCTTGTACTTTGGTGGGATGCCCAAGGGATTGTGGGGCTCATTCTGTTCTTACTGTGTGTTCTCTATTCAAGGTGAGTGGAACTTTCAGGCATCCCTTTTACCATGTTCAGCTGTTAAACTCTCCATCAGCTGGATATTTAGTGACTGCCCACTTTTCCATTTGCAGTATCCGAACATCTAATAACAGTCAAGTAAACAAACTTACCCTGACCAGTGATGAGTCAACGCTGATAGAAGATGGACTTCCTCGGAGTGAAGGCTCCCTTGACGATGGCGATGATTTACACCGTGCGGTTGACAATGAGCGAGATGGAGTTACTTACAGTTATTCTTTCTTTCACTTCATGCTTTTTCTTGCTTCACTTTACATCATGATGACGTTAACCAATTGGTACAGGTATGTAGATTTATAGAGAATTGGGAAAAGATAACCCTTTTTTGTGCCTACATTTTTTGGCGTATCCCCACTCCTCTTGGCTTTGAAAGTGCTTTTCATTTATGAAGCTTGGAATGAGACAGCAGATGAAGTACTGGACTCCAGAGTTGGCTCCAGAACCCTGCATGTAGAATAGGCAGGGAGCTTCTGATTTCTGCAGCCTATTCTAGCCCGTCCCCCATCAGTCTTCCGCTGAGAATCATAGGATGGTGGTCGGGGATGAATGAGGGGGAAATGGATGGATCCCTGACAAGCGATGGAGGGGAATATCTGCAAACTAAGTGAATTCTCTTTAAAAAAGTGATTACCTTGTTCCCACAACTGAATCTGAAAAGCCTTTCCACATTTATTTTATTTTTTTATTTTTTTCAGTCCTGACTCTACCTTTGCATCAATAACTAGTAAATGGCCGCCTGTCTGGGTGAAGATTTCTTCTAGCTGGATTGGCATCATCCTGTATGTGTGGACTCTGGTGGCTCCGCTTGTTTTAACAAACCGTGAATTTGACTAAGCCAAGCATCTTTTCTGAAGGCTTTTATTGTTTCGTTGCTTATTTGATGCTAATGCTACTCTGTACTAAGAAATAATGTAAATATGTGTTTGTGTACTTACTATCAGCATAGTTTAGCCTGTCTTTATTATGCATGATAATTTTAAATCAGGTTATCTTGCCATTTCAACTACTGTTTCCTACTTGAGCTTGAACATGATTGCTGCTAGATTCAGGGCCAAACTAGAAGTGTCGACAGCAGTTCTACAGGCTTTACTCAACAAAATGCAAGCGGGAAACAAAATAGGAAGTTTGCTGTGTTCCACCAGCAGTTGCATATTCTGTTAGCAGTTGTTAAAGTGTTTGTGGAGCAACTTGCACTTACCTAGTGTAATTAAGATTTAACGAGCTGCAAAAGTGCTGTGGCAAGCATGTGCAAAATCAAAGTATTTGGTTTGTTACTTGCGCAGGGTGGAAGTTCAGCAAGTAGCAGCTGTAGTGTTTTAATTAAAGAATTCCCTGATTTTGTAGAAGTGAGGTATTTGACCTTTAAAAGCAAAATGGGTGTGTGGGATTCACCTGCTTGCCATTTATTTCTCCCTTGACATCTTTGCTTCGAGAGCAGTTCTGATACTTGATGGGATATGTCTAAGAGGCAGACAAGCAGGGAGAGGATCTAAGAGATGATAAACTTGTAGCAGAAGCATTTGATTTCCTCATCTTTATGCCTGTTACGCTTTTAGAATGGGGATACACACTGATTTCCACACAAGGGGATTTTTCCTTTTTTATTTTTTTTTAACACATCAAGGGGTAGTCATTTCATCTGTATTGGCCGTTTCTGCTCTATATGAGGACTGTGCCAAAATGGGAAGAACCATTTCAGTGATCCTTCAGGGAGAAAATTAAAAGTAGGATATAAATCTTCTTTAGAGGGACCAGACCAATTTGAAGAGTCACCAGCAATGTTACTAGGATGTGTGGTGCGGTCCTTGCCCTCTTGATTGCATGAACAAGGGAGGATTGGAAATTAGTAATCACTAAATATATATTTTATCTTATAATAGCTGAAGCAGCCAGGTTAAAGGCATTAGTTTGTTGGGTGATCCCTGCTCCTCCTTTGAAAATATGTTGTGCAAAAAGAGGGATTGACTTTAATTTTACAGTGAGAAGAACAAAGCAAGGATAGTCAGTACAGATAGACGGCATTTATAATTCAGAAGCTATTTTTACAGAATTTTCTCCTTTTAAAAATTCTACACGAATAACCATTCTGTTTAGGACTTGATAGTTGTCACACAAGCATCTGAGAAACCAGTTCTTTGCTCCTTGCCAAAAGAGAGTGTTTCTCTACGTGCTGTTTAGTTTAACTACAGGGCTTATATTAAAGGACTCTGAAATGTTCGTAGTTTTACTTAAAATGGATTGAAAACCATGAATTTTTTAGCCATGAAAAATGGTTGCATTTTTGTACACATTGTGTTGGAAGTGGAGTGCAGTGTTGGTCCTATTAATAATGCATGTCATTGAAGTTATTTTTGTATCCACTGAGTTAGGAAAAAAACCCTTTAAGTATTTAAATGTATTATTAGGCCGCTTGAAAGCAATTGAAACTGAGGCCTAAGGGTTTCAGGTCCCTCACTCATAGTAACTAACATAACGTAGGAAATGCTGATAAAATATAAAAAACAGGACAAAACAGGTGGGAACAGTACATTTTTGGCTTAGTGAACATTAGTTATTTGCAAGTAAGAAAAAATGAGACTCATTTTAATAAGTTTGCTGGATGTATTGACAAGTATTAATATTCTTAAAAACATTTGCATTATGCAGCTGATATCTACAGTGACGCCATTTGATTTTTCTGCACAAGATATTAAAGAACTTTTAAGTATTTTTATTTCATCTCTTGCTACTAGTCCTGTTGGGTGCAGTGCAGGCAGTCTTTACAAGTGCAAAATCCCAGAACTATATACTTAGAAGCTATTGGTTCTGCTTTGCAAAATGCTTTGAAAATACTCAACTTCTGGTTTTTGTTTGAAGCGGAAATACATTTATACATTGCTACAACTTCAGATTTCTCCAGTTCAATTTCAGCTGTAGGTATCTTCTCCAAATTCCTGAGCGTTCATAATTGTTAACATTTATTCAATTCATTGTAATACCCAGAAAGGCTGATGAAGTTGAACCTAAATGCAATTACTGCTTAGTTATTTTGAGTGTATATGCTGTAGCTATCAATAAACATTCATATTGGCTATTTAATCTTGATATCTCTTAAGATGCAGTTTTGGGATTAGTTTAAGCTGTTAAGAATTTAATGGTGGAGACCTCAACCTGATTTATCTTGGCTATTTGATCCATTATAACAATGTGACTATATAGTTTCAATATATTTTTAGAGGTATGGCTCTACCTTGGCACTTCCATAATCTTTCTTACTTACTTATTTAATATGGCCACTCATTTAAACCATATACATGACTCTGGGCATCTAACGATTGAAAGCAAAATAAAAACAGGATAAAACAGCCAAAATTAAAAAAAATTCAATAGCATAAACATAGCTGCCAAGAACACTTGCAATGTCCCATATTCAAATCAGCTATGAGACGGGCTCACCCATATTGCCAGGGCCCCAGGCTAGATGGCAAAGACAGGTTTTTAATACCTTGCGAGAAGTCAGCAGAGTCGGGGCAAATCTAATCTCTGGGGGAATGATGATCCAGAGGGTGGGCACCATGGCAGAAAATGCTCTTTTCCTGGGCCACCAGATGGCGTTCTCACTCTCTCAGGACCCAGAGCATACTTTTGCTGGATCTCAGGACAGGGAGATACCGCCAGGGAGAGATAGTCCCATAGGTAGCCTGACCCCAAGCCATGAAGGGCTTTAAGCTCCCCACCATTGCCTTGAATTGCACCCAGCAGCATACTGGTAGCCAATGCAGCTTGCAGAGCAGAGGTGTCACATGTGCCAAACAACTGGTACCTATAACTGCCTGTGCTGCTGCATTTTTTTATGATAGGTATTGGTAAAACTAGAGCATTTAATGCAGCAACAGGCTTATACTGGGGGAAAGCTGAAGATCAATTATCCACAATATGATTACAAGCAAGACTTTCAACTTTATTCTTTGACATTGAAAGCACTCAGCTTTTCATTTACTTAAGAACTACTGTGTCCTTGCACTTGACACTCTTAAAACTGCTTCGCTCAAAGCAATTTTCTCTCTCCATCAGATTGTGTGACACTGGTTAGTTTTCTAACCTGTATACTAAACTAAGAATGGTGGTGTTTCAGAATATAATTAAGTCAGGTTGCTTCTATCAACCTTAAAAGAAAACATGTAGCATCTTGATGGAAGGAAGTTAAAAGCGTGTCTAGTACTACATGTTAGATCTCCAGTTGATTCCATAGAAAGGACAAAGAATATGCCATATAGCATTGGATACCATCTCTTGTATTCTAACTGAATATAACTGATAGAATAGGGTAATGTTTTCATTTAGCCTACAATGTAGTCAGATGCAACAATGGTTTAAGTATATGGCAGATTTGTGCCTTCAGATCAATCCTGATTCCTGGTGATAGTTTTCCTGCCATGATTTTTGGAAGTGGTTTGCCATTGCCTTCTTTCTGGGACTGACAGTGAATTATTTGGCCCTAAGCCTGAGGAAGGAAGAAAACTTGAGTTTCCCCACCCAAAGTCTAGCACTAGACCAAAATGGCTGTCTATGTCAGACAGAACACTTTAAATACTATAAATAATATAGATCTGTACTACATACTTAGTTTTTACATTACAATGTCTTAGAAATGAAAACTAAGTGTGCATCATTAACTTTAGTTTTTAAGATTTTGCAGGTGCTACAACAGCATAAAAGCTTTACTCACAATCCTCCTAAAGAGTTTACCAATGAAAATTGAGATTTTAATAAATGGTGGAAAATCATTCTTATTGAAAAAAAGGCACAAGAATTAAATTGTTTTGATTGCCCATTCTGGCTAATGGAAGCCCAACTGTCCTCAGAGTTTCATGGCATGCATAATTTGTTTAGAGCAAAGTGTGCCAGATGGCTAGCTATGACATTTACTCAATTGTAGTTTATACTCATATATTTCAGAGAGATGTGCCTCCATTTCTTTAAAGCTATTTTAAACACACAAAAACTGAAGCTACTGTATATGTAGTGTTGCATTTGCAGACAGAAGTTCAGATAAAGGTTCTATTTTCTGCCACATGCCTGGAAACATTTTTCCAACCTTCCAGCAACAGGGTTGGTATGGAAAGGGAAGATGATCCACTAAGAAATGGCTTATTAGGACATAGATTTTTGTATGTCTGAGGTGAAAATCCAGCTACATTTTTTGGCTAGGTAGATTCTTCTATCCCATAACCAGAAGTATCTTCATGTAGAGTTCTTTTCAGGACTGCTAGTGGAAAAGATTAACCCCAGGCTGAGAGCATGAGAGAATCTCCCAATCTCCCAACCTCTCCTCTGCAGGCAGCACTCTTATGTCCCTAAATAATATGTAGTGCTTAAATAAAGGATTGGAGGCTAAGTGACACGTTACATTAAGTTCTGGTCTGCCTAACAGTTTTATTTAAACAAAGTTGTAAAAATAAAAAAGTAATGAATAAAACTTGGAAGTCCATGACCCCCATCAAAAAATCAAAAAACTTGCATCAGTCATACATTAGGACCAAAAGTGAACAAGAGATACCACAGTGGTTAATACAGAGCATCTGATTATATGTATTCAGAAGATAGCTGGTAATTCCAAGTACAACAGCACAAGTATAATGAACTAGTGTAAATGAACTGTTGATGGTTTGTGTAAATATTTAAACTGCTCTGATTTTGTAGAAGCAATAGAATCTTTTCAAGTCCCCATTAGCTGCTTTCACAAAATGTTTACAAAAGATAGACCCCCAAACACAGCCTAAATAAATAGTTTGTCTTAAACATACTGGGTTAGTTGTTCAACAATGGCATATCAGTGTCCATTGGCACAGGAGCGAGTTCACACAAATAAAATAATGTAGCTTCACTGGCTTCTGCTTCTGTCAGTGGTTCCAGACGAACAAGTTTACTTTGGGTTGGTTGAGGATCCAGACTGGTTTCAAGGAGTTCATCCACTTCTATTGGCTTATCTACAGAAGCTGCAGTTTCTGGTGTACTCTCTGTTGCTGTGCTTGGGTTTCCATCAAACAATGCGAGGAGGGGGAAGGCTGTATATTGAATGAGCTGTTTATCTACAGTAGAAGAAATAAGCCAAACCAAAGTAATTATTTTAAACACCCACAAACATCATTTGTGTATTTTTACAGAATGAAAGTGAACAAAAATAAAACATGTTCAATATAGAGCATTATCAGCAAACATTGACAATTGCATTTTGTTCATATCTAAAAATAAACTAATTTCTATAAAATGTGAACACTGGACAATCAAACAATTTTACAGTATGAAAACTCATAGTCACCTGCTTTAGGGTTAGAATTAGGCACATTTTGTGAGTCTTGTTGAGGACTATTACTTTTCATAGTTTCAATTCCCTTTGTTTCCACCTACAAAAAAGATGAGATGAAGAAAATGAGAACAGAATCTATCAAAGTAAAATACAGGTAGCCCTTGCTTAATGACCATTTGTTCCACGACCATTTGACGTTATGACGGCACTGGACGAATGGTACTTATGCCCAGTCCTTGAAGTTACGGCCGTTGCAATGCCCCTGCAATCACAAGATCAAAATTTGGGTGCTTGGCAACCTGCCTTCATTTATGACCACAGGGTGTGCTTCAACTTCCTCCAACCCATCTATCTCCCCCTATCTCTGCCCTTTTGGCCGCCCTGTGTTCTGCTGCCTTGTGCTCCACCGCTCCCAGCTGACCTTCAGTCTTCTTCCTCCGCTGCTGATGAGGCGCACCCAGCTTGGCCCTTCACGAGGCAGCTGCTGGCCATGTGACACCTTCTTCCCAAGGCCACATGCAGCCTTCCTGAAATCACACACAGCCAGCAGCTGCCTTGCAAAAGGGGGAAAACAACGGGAGGAAGAAGATAGCGAAGGTGAGTTGGGGGCAATGGAGTGGTGGAGTGTAGAGCAGCTTGAGTGCCCTCCCACCCGCAGCAGCAGCCACCCCGTGTCTGGCTGTGCCTGCACTGGGCAACAGCAGCTACTTACCTGCCCACTGGTCTACTTGCAAGCCACCTGGGACCTGTGATTTCCTGCCGGCTTTCCCATTGACTTTGCTTGTTGGAAGCTGGCAGGAAGTCTCAAGGAGGTCCTTGCTTAACGACCCACGATTCTTGCCTAATGATGGTAATGGGGACTGCTGGGATTGCTATTGCTAAGTGATGCGGTCATGTAACATCGTGCTTTATGATGGCATCGCTTAGCGATGGAAATTCCAGTCAATTACTGTTGTTAACCGAGGACTACCTGTATTCTGCAGTAGTCTTCAGAAAGGTGTGAGATGCTATAGCTAGAAGAAACAATAGAACACAGTGACAAGCTAACATTCAGCAATGTATTTAGGAGTAAAGTTTTGGAATTTTAGAGCCCTTTATTTGTATTTCCTCTACACATATGAAAAACAGACTGGGACATTAATACTATAATATACAAAGAGTAATTTTATTTCAATCACATATATACTTTACATTAGGATGTGCAAAGCATTCTGTGCACAGAGCAGCTTGTTTTGGATGGTCTGATCCTGAACCGAAACATACATATTTGGGGTATTTTGGTCCATTCATGGAACAAAACAGGGCTGCTTTGGTATGAGCAGAAATGGTTTACAGGAATGAAGAGGGGAAAAGCCAAGATGCTGGCAGAGGAGGAAAGACAGGGAGAAAAGGAGGGTTATTGGAAGGCTGTGAGATATGGGTCAGCCAGTGGGATATGCTGTGCTGGAATACTGGCAGTGGCTGAAGGAAAGGAGGAAAGAAAAGGCCTTGGAAAGGTGGCATGGGAGGCAGGCTGGTGGGATGTGCAATGCTGGGAGCTGCTAAAGTAAGGTGCAGAGAGAGGAACTTTGCCCAATTTGCCCATCCAGATTGTGTTTCATCTGAAACTTGAAACAACAACTTCATTCAGGGTGTCAGTACTGCCAAACTGTGGGTCACCTGAAATTGTATGGCAGAGCTTCTGGAACATAATAGTTTGTTCCAGGTTCAAACCAAAATAATTTCTCCATTTTACACACCTCCCTACTTTGATAGTTCTAGAAGCATTGCTATGCAATTGCAGCACATTCCTGTAAGGCTGTACTAGACAGGCAAGATACAGAACATGGAAACTAGTAAGCATGTGTAATGTAAAAAGAGGTTGAGAAGAGTCCAGTACTAGAAAGCATGGCAATTCAAACAAACAGTTTGAACTAGTCTTAAATTATGACCTTGCTAAGATTCAGATTTTTTAAAATATGAACTTGTTGTTTTAACATATTTCACTGCTGTGCTAATGTAAAACTTACTTTTGTACTACTGATATGACCTGTTGGGTTCATCTGCACGGAACTTGAAAAAAGCTGAACAAGACAAAATATACATGTTTTTTTTAAAAAAAAACATTCTAAATAAAAAGTTGGCTATTTTTAAACTACACCAATTTTTTTTCTGAAAATGTCTATATTAGAAATATTCTTCAGAAAACTTAAGTACAAACTATTTTTTTTGTTTTCTCTGAAATGTTAAACTTTGCAGTTGGCATTAATATAGATCCTTAGCATATTTTAAAAAATAGAACAGTTTTTTACTTTATAAAACTGAAGGCCCCCAAAAAGCAGTCAATATTTACATCAACCAGAAGATCTGGATCTATGCTGAACTGCCGTCCTGAAAGCATGGCCTGAAAATCCTCTAAACTGCAATCAATGCTCTCAAGGTAATCCAGGAGTTCCACCCTAAAAGAAAGAGAAGTCCATGACACCCTAGCTTTTTGAGCAGTAAGTTGTTCCCTACTTGCCACCTTGGACTTCTAAAATAAAATTAAGAAAAAGATGCTCTTTTCCATAAAATGTAAAAATATTTGATTTTTTTTTTCTCCAGTTTCCAAAGTATCAGCTGGTACAAAGTATGAAATTCAAGGACAGCAGCGTATGAATACAATTACATAAAGCCCTAGAGACAACCACCCAGACTATCTGAAATTAATCTGTAAGTGATCCATGATATTTATCAAGAATGGAGACACATATTGCCCGTGGAAATTGATTTGACAGAAAACCCTAATTATTTAGGAATTTAAAGACTAAGAATACATGTTTGTTATTGTGGATTCAAACAACCCAATTACACTAAAACCACCAAATTCAGAATTCAAGATTCTATGGTAAACAGATTGGAATCTTATGCATCTAGCCTGTTCCAAAAAGGAGAACAAATAATAAGCATATTTAAAATATATGTACCAATGCAAAAGTTTTTAAAAGAGGGAGATAAGATGGTGCATGAACTTTAAAACTAAAAATAACATAAAGAAAGTAACACATAACTCACTTTCCAAGAAGGTTGATATTTTGTGAGATTACTCCATTTTCACTAAGAATGGAATCCATCATTGAGACTGGGTCTTCTGCTGTTAAAGTCGATTGGCTGTTTAACTGAACAGCACTAGACATTAATGGGTTTGCACCATCAGTGGAAGGACTCATAGATTCATCAGATGAAATACCAACTGGTTCAGCATTTGTATTTTCTTGAATTATAGGAGTATATTCATCCTCATTATCATCTTCTACTATTACAATGTCAGGACTATAGCTGCAATGCAAACATAAGATTAAAGAAAAGAAAGTCTTTCTTTTGCAGTTTGATTGGAAATAAAGAAAAACTATGAAATTGTATTCCGCATGTGGTGTTAGACAGCATTTCTGTTTCTGTACTCACCTCTGAATAATCAGAAGTTCAACATATTTTTGGGGTGGTAACAGTAGGGAGACTAGAGACTTACACAACAGATGTAATTTCACACATTCAAATGCACATTTTCTTAAATAATGTGACACTTTAAAGACTAACTAATGTATATTTGTGTAGGCTTCTTTAAAAAAAATCAAAATCCATTTCATTAGATCCACAAAGCGTTTTCAACAATATATTTGTTAGAGTTTTTACTGTTTTTGCTGCAAAAATCAAAACAAAATGAAAAACAGAAACCCAGCTTTTTTAGGTTAGCAATTCCCAAAACAGCTCTGCAAAGCAAGCCAGGATTATTAGTAATTTTAATATAGTTATTTGCTACTAGTTGTTATGACTGATATGATCTGGATCTGAAACACTTGCCAGATATTAGCACTCCTATATTAATGAAAATGTATGGATTCTTATAACTTATTTATAAAAGTACAACTGCAGGCATCAATGCAGGATTGCCCAAAATTGCAATTATGCTCGTAACATATAGGTGTTTCTTACTTTGAGTCTGAAACAGTGTCATCACTGGTTTCTGGAGTAACAGGAGCCTTTTCTTCATCCCCGCTATCGTCAGTGATGTCATAAATAATAATGTCATCTGACAGTTGTTCTCTTTGCTTTAAACCATCATTCCTGTTGTGTGAAACCTGCCCATTTACAAGCTGTAATAACATAATTGCATAAGACATAAAGATAAAACATAGAAAATAAGGATAGAAATATCACTTCCTCAAAGTGGATGAGAAACAATTAAAAGGACTACATTCAGAATGTATTTGAAATTGATTTAGAAATCATTAGTTCAAACACCATACTAAAAAAATTGTTTGAAATATGCTTTCTAACAGGATAATTATTTTTAAATCATTTAAGAGTAGCATTTTGAGTAAAAGAAATACTGTATTGTACACAGAGGTTCTTCTTCGATTTGTGGATTCTGGGGGAGGGGAAGTGAACACACTTGCACCTAATCCCAACTACCAAAGGAAGAATATTTGATTCTTCCAATGGTGTTTATTAGTAGTTCTCACTTCTGTCCTGGAGACATTAAGTTTCTCAATTCAAGCTACAGATGAGATGGTTCTGTCTATCTTTTATTTGTCTCTTTTCCTCCATCCCTCATCCAGCTACATTCCTATTTACAATTCACTACACAAGGAGCAGTGATCAACCTTTCCTGACATCCCAGTGACATCAATTAACAGCTACAGTGGGGCAAAAAAGTATTTAGTCAGCCACCAATTGTGCAAGTTCTCCCACTTAAAAAGATGAGAGAGGCCTGTAATTTTCATCATACATTTCATCTTCAATGCCCTTGCTGATGGAAGGAGGTGTTCACTCAAAATCTCATGATACATGGACCCATTCATTCTTTCCTTTACATGGATCAGTCATCCAAATACTTATTTTCCACCATGATTTGCAAATAAATTCTTTAAAAATCAGACAATGTGATTTTCTGGATTTTTTTTCTCATTTTGTCTCTCATAGTTGAGGTATACCTATGATGAAAATTACAGGCCTCTCTCATCTTTTTAAGTGGGAGAACTTGCACAATTGGTGGCTGACTAAATACTTTTTTGCCCCACTGTAAATTCCAGGGGTACCATTTCATCTTCAATGCCCTTGCTGATGGAAGGAGGTGTTCACTCAAAATCTCATGATACATGGACCCATTCATTCTTTCCTTTACATGGATCAGTCATCCAAATACTTATTTTCCACCATGATTTGCAAATAAATTCTTTAAAAATCAGACAATGTGATTTTCTGGATTTTTTTTCTCATTTTGTCTCTCATAGTTGAGGTATACCTATGATGAAAATTACAGGCCTCTCTCATCTTTTTAAGTGGGAGAACTTGCACAATTGGTGGCTGACTAAATACTTTTTTGCCCCACTGTAAATTCCAGGGGTACCATTTCATCTTCAATGCCCTTGCTGATGGAAGGAGGTGTTCACTCAAAATCTCATGATACATGGACCCATTCATTCTTTCCTTTACATGGATCAGTCATCCAGTGACAGCCCCAAAACATCACTGCTCTGGAGGAGATCTGCATGGAGGAATGGGCCAAAATACCAGCCAAATACTTATTTTCCACCATGATTTGCAAATAAATTCTTTAAAAATCAGACAATGTGATTTTCTGGATTTTTTTTCTCATTTTGTCTCTCATAGTTGAGGTATACCTATGATGAAAATTACAGGCCTCTCTCATCTTTTTAAGTGGGAGAACTTGCACAATTGGTGGGTGACTAAATACTTTTTTGCCCCACTGTAAATTCCAGGGGTACAGTTGAAATGTTTGTAACGAGGAACTTCTGATTATATGCAAAGTCTTTCACACTGAGTCGAAACTTTGATAGTGGGATTCCAGTTCCAGGTTGAAATAAAGCTTCAATCTCTTAACATTCTATGCCATTAATTTAACAGACTCTTCTGAGGTTTCTGCTTATGGTACTGAAGGTTTCTATATGCTACAACCATCAAAATTAACTAAAGCCTATCAATACCTCCCTCTTGTAAAGGTGGTGCAGTTTTGATTACTGGAATCGAACTAACATTTTACCAGATATAAAACTGCCCTTTTAAATTTGTCTTTTAAACTGCCAAAAAAAAAAAAAGCAATTAATTTTTAACCCAAGAATTTATGGGTATTATGCAAGACACCAAGAAACCAAAAACCTTAGTTAGGGAAATGGAAACATGCCACACACACAAAAATAATGAACTTTATGATCTTTACATTATAATTTTCTCTCTACTGGAACTAAGGTTTTTGCATTGCATGGTATACTATGGTTTAATATAAACCATTATTTAGTGTCTTTGTAATTCATGCCATTATAGTTTAAGGAGAATTCTCATATTCAACAGAGGAAAGAAGTGTTGTATTCTCTTAAAAACAAAATAATGGGCCCAAACTTGGACCAGCCATCAGTGTTATTAAAAAATGGACTGGTCACAGAAAAGAAACAAAATGGGTAGAATCCAGGCATGTTTATTCCAGTGGAAACCATTTCTACTGATAAAACGATAGGGAAGGTGATGCCCTCTATTCCCTGCATCTTGAAAAACGGTCATGGAGAATTCAAAGTTCAAGGGCAGATTTAAGGGAATACGTAGAACAGCGGGGAGGAAGAAGTCTGTCCATGCAAAGTGACTTGCATCTGCACAACTTGGATTTTGCCATAATCTTGCTAGTCTACAGACAAATTGGCTCATTGGAAGTCTCTGCTTAGAACTGCAATCACTAACCTCCCCTTCTCAGTGTAAAGCAAAACTTCATTTTAAACTGCGTTTCACTTGTGTCTCAAACAGCCACATTAAGATAGTTCCACTAAGGTAGTAACCTTTCACTGTTTTATTTAAGTATACTTTAAAATTAACTCACATGATGTTTGTTTTCTGCTGGCTCTTTGACTATCTGCTGAAATAAGTTGGACTTTGGAGCCCCATTAGTATTCAGAAGCAGTGGGCTAAATCAGAAAAAATAAAATATGTTAATTCAGTCTTAAAAGCTGCAGGTTCTTTTTAAAAAATCTTATTCCAGAATTTCCAAAAATAAGCTTACCGTTTGCGTTTCAGACTCACAAGTTGATTATTCTGAACGAGAGTAACAATGAACTGCACAATCTACAGAAAAAACCAGAATGTTCTGTTGCATTTCAATCTCAAACAAAAATACTTATCTCCATGGAAATAAGTCTGAACTTAACCAAATTTGTTAACTTGCATTGGAAATTAATTTTCTTGTACATAAGAGAACAAATTGTTAACCAAGTTTTGCAAAAACGAAACAGAAATTTCTTCAGCAAATTATCAAATATCAAAGCCTATATCTCAAGATTCATTCCAGCTTGCAGACTTAGATAACATAAGATAGGGTGCTCTGTGGCATGAGCAATATCACTTTGGAACTATGTCATTCTTAGCTGCTTCAGGGGGCTTGGATGTGTGACAGTAGCTGGTCCAGGAAGCTGAACACATTCTCTGGTCCCTTGATAACTTTAAAGAGATAATGGTGTGGTCCCTTCTGAAGAAACCTTCCCTGAAGCAAGCAATATTAGGTAACTATTGTCGTCTCTCCAATTTTCCTCTTTTAGGAAGATTGTTGAAAAAGTGATGTGGCTCCAGCTGCAGAATGCTTTAGAGGTAACAGATTATATGGACCCTTTTAATCAATCCTAGGTGTGGGAACAAGACAGCACTGATTGCTTTGGTAGATGCCCTTTGTCAAGAGCTATGGGGTGGGGGGGGACACAGCCTTCTTGGTCCTACTTAACCTCTTAGGAGCCTTCTAGACTACCTACTATAGTTGGAGATTTGAGACACTAATTTACAGTAGTTCCACTCCTTCCAAAACAAGTAGTTCCAGTTAATAGTAATGGGGGAGAAAAGGCTGGTTCCATGGATGCTCCTTTGTCAGCTTCCACAGGGATTGAATCTCTTGCCCCTGTTAACATGTACATGAATGAAGCTGCTGGGAAAGATCACCAGTATGTTGATGATACTCAATTTTATTTATTTACATATTTTGCCATTTGGGGCAAGCAAGGAACTACTTTTTTCTATATTCATTATAGTTTTTAGAAAGTTATCTGTGTTGTTTATTTCTGTTTGTGTATATATTTTCTTAATAATATCAACATTCACAACTATAGCACTTGCATCAATATCTTGAGCTGGGGTTTCAGCAATGAGCAGTTGATGGGTCGCCAGTAAGAACAGCTTTGAAATAATTCCTACATTACATTGTAGCCTAAAGCATCTCGTGTTATATAAATGTATTTCTGCTGAAGTAATAACACTTCACATTCCTTCCCCATACACATTCCATATGTACCCTAATCTATTCTGGAGAATATCCCAAATTTTCAAAGCTAATTTTGGGATACACAGGGTAGTGCTTAAGAACTTATTGTATTGATAAAAAATAACAAAATGGATGCAACCCAGTCAGTCCAAGAGTAGTGAGGTTATATTTCTCCCCCCACCCCACATAACTGAAGAGACAAAGATAGGATTTTTTCCTACTGCTGCAATCTGAAACACAATGCTTTAAGGCTGTTGTAGTTGTCATTATTTAGAATTGGGAGAAGTCTTATGAAAAATTAATATTACATTCCAGTGGTTGCAATTTCATTTTTGTTACATAAAGATTTTTTTTCCAAAGAACTAATCATCGTATACAACATTTGAGTTATTTTGTATGGACAGTTCAGTTTTGGACAAGGTTTGCTCATATGCATCTTTAGTGCATATTGAACAGAACAGCATAAATTTATTTTGATTCTGCCTTCTGATTCTCAAATTATTAATCCATATATAGTAGATTAATTTTAACATTTTAATATATAACAAACTGATATCATCAAAGATCTTTATAGCTGCATACAACTGTGCTCTCAAACAGTGATTTAAACTTTTTTTGCCCTCTCTTACCCCAGGAAAATACCATTTTAATTTGTTTTTAAGATTCCCAATTTTGCTTGAATTCTTACTTCCAATTCCTGTCAGTAAAAATTATTTAATCTACCAATTTGTGTTATCTTCACTAAAGCCATTTTTTGTTTTCCTTTGCACTGTAGATTATATATGAAAATGAATCTGAGAAAAATTAATTACCTTCCGAATAACTTGCTGCTGCTGCAGATGTTTTGCTCTCAGTTCTGCTACCTCCCGCCAAAGGGATTCATTTTCTCTGTTTCAAGACATTTATAGTTAGATTAAAGTGTTTGCATGTGAATACTTAGAAATATATCTTGAAAGATAATATTAACAATCACTAATATGATATAGATAATTTTAAGGTTAAACTAGAAATTTTCATGTTAAAATGTCTGATATTAAAAGGCCAATTTTCCCAGTTTTCATAATCAATGAAGTTACATCACACAAACGATTATGTATTTACCTCTTCAGTGCAGAAAGCCTGGATTCAATAGTTTCTTGTTTAATTTGAACCTTCTGAGCACTACTTATAATTTTAGACAGGTCTTCTTGACGAATTTTATTTTCTTCAGGCTTTGAAGAAGAAACCTGTAACAATAAACATTCCAGATACAAATGAGTAATAATATACATCTTGATAATACAGGTATTCCTCACTTAACAGCCATTCATTTAGTGACTGTTCAAGTTACAATGGTGCTGAACAAAGGGACTTACAACAGGTTCTTGTGCTTACGACCATTGCAGACCCCCATGGTCACATGATCATGACCCGGGAGCTTGGCAACCAGCTTGCACTTATGATGGTTGCAGCATTGTGAGGTCATGTGATTGTCATTTGCAACCTTCCCAGCCAGCTTTCGGCAAGCAAAAATAATGCGGAAGTGTGTGATTCGCTTAACAGCCAGGGTGATTTGCTTAATGACCGCTGCAAAAAAGGTTCTAAAATCAGGTGCGACTCACTTAACAATCACCCATTTAACAATGAATTTTCTGGTCCCTATTGTGGTTGTTAAGCAAAGACTACCTGTAGCTTGAAATAGGTCTCCTGCAAGATTAGGACAGGTAATTACAATGCGCAAATAGAAACTTAAATTTGTTTCAGAAATGAATTCCAAAGTGGTATGATGACTATGAGATATCTAATATAGGTGATTTTTGGCAAAAGTTTGTATGGAGAAAAAGAATGTTCTATAAAATTTTTCACTAACCTTTCTTTTAATATGCTCCAGTAAGTCTTCCCGTCCTTGCTTGAAATAGGGGTGTTGGAACTCAACAGGGCCATCTCTTTCCAATTTAACAATCCCAGAGTCGACATGGACCACTTTACGGAAACCATCTGAAAAATTATATCCACAATGCAAAAATCAACTGGAATATTCAAGGCTTCAGTCCTCATTCAACAGTGAAAATTTCCAAACATACAATGTAACAAACTTTGCAATTCTTGGCTAAACAGTTTCACTAATGCTCACAGCTCTATCTTTCGCTATCACCAAAATCCATTCTGTTAAATGTACTTTCAATTTCTACAGAAGCCGGTATCATTATACAAGACAAATGAGAAACATAGGAAGCAGTGCCTGATCTCTTTGTTTCCCTTCTAGTTTTACAGGTATTACTCTATTTCTGAGAAATACAGGGCAATTATACATGCAGCAGTTTTTTTACTATACTGCAATTTGATATTAAAAAAAATACTATGAAAATATAGTTCACCTCTTCTGCTAGCTATGAGCCAGTTAGTCTAAATCTGGAAGTAAAAATAAGAATGACACAATATACTAAACAGTGGTAAGCTACAGAAACTATGCATAAAGTTCTAAATATGTATAAGAAATGCATGCAGTTATTATAATATAACGTCGTATTTTTGCAAGGAAGCTGCACTGATGTTAAATTTACTACCATGGATTTCATCTGAAATTTTAGCCAACCAGTAGAACTTTCTCCCAAAAAATTCCACTCAGCACACTCATACTGATGAAAAGGGAACAGAAATGGATTTTAATCAATTCCCATTCTCTCATTATCTTTTTCTACATTCCAAAGAATGCCCTAGCCTTCTAGAATAGATTTTTTTTAGGGGGTGGGGTATAGAAGATTACAAGGACAGAGGGAAATCAGCAGAAACTGCCTCCTTTCCAATTCAATCTAGGTATTCTGCCAACTTGCATGAAGACTATGATAAATCCATCCATAATGTACTCAATAGATTTTCTTCCCAAAATTGGGAGATAAACTGGCCTTGCTACAGCAGAGCAAAACCTAACCTTCCAAGGTGATACTGATTATCAATATCATAGAATTTTATCCTCAAAATTCTTGTGAAAAAAATATGTTCCCTAACTGATGCTTACAGATATGTTTTTTAAAAAAATCAAGTCTTTTCATAGTTCTGCAGCTATAATACTCAATAATGGATACAAAACATAAAAAAAAATTAACTATCCTTCCCTGGTTTTAGTATTTCAGAGGATCAAGAACACTGGGCACTGAAAATTTACAGCAAATGCAATTCCTAGGAAAGACAGCAACTACATTCCTTAGAAAATTGTTTGCGTTCATGATCACAATTTAATCTGAATGACTGATAGAATGTACTAGTGCAAAACAAAAAAATGAACCTACTTCAAGATTAATAGTGTAAAATGTTCTATATTTTTAAGTGTAGATTTTAAAAAGTAATTCTGTATAACATTAAAAAAACTCACACATATTTAGCTGTCTCACAAAGCTTGCCATGTTGTTGTGCTTGAAGTACTTTGGAAGAATCTCTTTGGCAAACCTTTGTTCATCCAATACGAGGAAACTCTGGCCATTCTGAAATTAAGAAATCATACACAATTATGGTTGGCATCTAAATAAAATGAAAAACATTTTTCTAAATATTTGCAAATCACTTCTCACTGAAGCATTCTTTAAAATGCAAAATAACCTCTAATTAAAAAAAATATATAATTAATATCAAAGTTACAAAGAGCTGTCACTGAAAATAGTTAAGATTATGAACAAGATTAACATGGAATTTCGAAGAGGCAAGTCACGAATGCATTAATGACATCAACTCAGACCAATTTACAGGACACTTTAATATTGTGCTTGACTATGTGATGACTGCCTAACAAAGTGAATTTTGGTTACAGGATAATTGGCTGGTTCTAAAACACATAATCTTTATTATTTCTACTTGTTTCTATTGTTTTGTTGCTATTACGTGTCCAGGGAAGAATGTGAAGAATGATGATGGCGGCACAGTAATGGCAAGGGGACAAGCTAGAAAAGATGCTTTTTTCCTTTCGGATTATTTATTCAATTGGGGAAATATCAATTGTGTAGTGAGATAAGTAACTCAGACCATCAGGGAATATGATTCTCAGGTACTATGAAAAAAGGGAATATACGTGTGAATAAATGTATATACAGTGATACCTCGGGATACGAACGCCTCTGCTTGCGAATTTTTCGGGTTACGACCAACTCGGGATACGCCCAGAGTCACGGAACGGATTAAGTTCGTATCCCGAGGTACCACTGTACGTGAATAAATCTAGGAGGAAAACTACAGTTTGGAATGGGAGAATAAAACCAATATATGAAGGATAAAGCAAGGTGTCTAAGCAAAAATTCAGCCTAATTAATGGACTAAGAATAAGGGAACAGCAAGTTGATTAAGAACGTAGAGGATCTAACAGCAAATTATGTACTAGAACAGCTGGCTAAGGAACCAAAACAAATTAACTGGTGGACCAGAAAGCAAAATATGAGGAAACACTGGATAATAGAAGTAAGAAATGAGGAGATAAAATCACTGTAAGGCTCAGACAACGCTTTGGTATATGAAGAAACTGTATATTACTTACAAAAAATGGAAAGGAAGGTATAAGGAGACTTGCCACATCAAATATTACAGCCCAACTGGGCCTTGGATTGATATAGCCATAGCCTGGCATATGTGACATAAGCAATTTATTTTTAACTGTTTTAAAATAGCAGCTATAGTATCTCTAGCAAATTGCCAGATATCAATTTTTCAATTGCACAGACTTTATTATGTATACGTATGTGTGTATGACAGCCAGTTTTGTGTAGTGGTTAAACCATCAGACTAGAAACTGGAAGACCATGAATTCTATTCCTGCCATAGGCACAAAGCCAGTTGGATGACCTTGAGTCAGTCACTCTGTCTCTCTCAACCCCAGGAAGAAGCAGGCAATAGCAAACCAATTCCAAAATCTTGCCAAGAAAACTGCAGGCAGTGGCCAGGAGTCAACACTGACTTGAAAGCACAAAAAAAAGAAAAGAAAAAAAAAGGTGTGTAGATCATTTTAAAGTGTTTAAAATGTATTTATTTATTTATTTATTTATTTACTCAGCCGCCCATCTCCCCCCAATGGGGGAACTCTGGGCGACTCACAAACATTAAAAACATAAATATATATAAATACATAAAACATCAGTTAAAAACATTACTAA